TATATGTTATCCTGTTGAAGAAAAAGGAGTTGTTAGAATTGGCTGTGAAAACACTGGTCAGTATTTAGGTGCATCGTGATATACACAAATATATAAATCTATACAGTTTCATAGTTAGATGCAAACGTTGTCTGGCAGCAGTTCCAAGCAGCATAAATCTCATGTTCCTTTAGGACATTTAAGGGTTCTTTTCCTGTGCTGATAATCTGATTTATACATTTCAAGAACATTGTGCAGTGTTCATATCTAACACTCGGTGTAGGGTTCTCTGATTAAAGAAAAAATGTTAATGTATTTAGTTCATAATTACTTTAGATAATTCTTTCTCCGGAAACATGCTTCCCCAAATTTATTTAAGGGCTACGTAGGAATTTATCGAAGTGTAAATTCGCTGAAGTCTTATGTTTTTGTGGTAGGCGAAATAATGTCAAGTCCAAAGATGTTTATGTCCTAATTGTCAGAATCTGTATGTCACACTGCATGGTAAAGGGGAATTAAGGTAGAAGAGGGAACTAAGTATGTTAGGACCATATAAGTTGTTTCTTATATGAAGAGTTTTAGAGGTTCAGAGAGAGTTGTGCCTCGGGATGGATTATACCCAAAGCCTCACTGATACTTGACCTAGATGATGAGATTGGGTGCTGCCGAGCTGATGAATTTTAGGTGAGACTTTGGACTCTGGGTTGGGGCTGTAATGGGTTGAGCCATTCAGAGATACTGGGACAGGGTGAATGCATTGGGCACGTGGGATGGAAACAGATCACTGGGTGCCAAAGGGTGGTCTCCGGTAGGCAGAATAATGGCCTCCCAAAGATGTCTACATCCCAGTCTCCAGGACCTGTTAAATTATAAGGCAAAGAGGATACAAGGTAGCAGATGGAGTTAAAGCTGCTAATTAGCTGATTTTAAGATAGGGAGATTATCCTGGATTATGTGGGTAGGTCCACTATAATCACAAGGGTCCTTGAGTGTGGATGAAAGAAGTCGAAAAATGACTGTTAGACTGATGAAAGATTTGACCTGCAATTGATGGCTTTGAGGAAGGAAAGGGGCCACAAACCATGGAATCTGGGCAGCTTCTAGAAGCTGGAAAAGCAAAGAAAAAGGTTCTCCTCGAGAGCCTCCAAAAAGAAATGCAGCCCTGCCAACAGCCTTGCTTTTAGACCAGTGAGGTGCACTTTGGACTTCAGACTCCAGAATAATACACTGTGTTGTTCTGAGACACCATATTTGTGGTAATTTGTTGCAGCATCCATAAGAAACTAATACAGCTGTACTTCTATATTCATTATATTCTCAGGTTTCTACTACATCATGCAATTCCTGGTGTCCAAGATGATTTCCTTTATTAGAGAAGTCTTTCCCACTTTCTCAAGGTAAAACGGTGATACAAGAATTCGTTTAGTGATAGATGTTTCTTTTTTCTTTTTGCATTCAGTGGGTTTCTCTTTTCTACGAGTTCTTCCACGTTGGTGAACACGTGTTCCACATCTAGTGCCTCTAGAGTCGTCTTTCTGTGCTTCTCTGACGAGTGATAAGGTACAACTTATCACTGAAAGAGATCGCATTCCTTCCTAAGGTTGTGGTCCTGTGAGAATTCTGTGGTAGCAACCGCGATGCCACCTCCAGGCAAAGGCTTCCCCCAATGGCTGCATTTCTGGGCAACGTGATCTCACAGGTACTTACCAAGTCTGACCCTTGTGGGGCATCCTCCGCCACCACTGCATCCACGGCATTTCTGTCCTAAGTGAGCCGACACATAACAGATGTGGGGCGGATTCACGCTAAAGGCTTTTCCACGCTTCCGGTACCGGAGAATTGTTTTTTTCCTATGCAGTATCTGTGACATATAAGACATACTTTATTACTGAAGGGGTTGTCACATTCATTGCATCTGCAAGGTTCGCTCCCTGTGTGAATTCCCGATTAGCTACTGAGGCTGGACTTCGTGGACAAGGCTGCTGCACAATCACTACGTTTCTGGCCCCAAGGAGCTCGCCGATGTTTAACGAGGGCTGAGTTCCCAAAGAAGACATTTCTGCAGGCACTGTGTTCATAGCCTTTTGCTCCTGGACCAGGTCACTCATGTATAAAGAGCTATGACTCCCCGAGGAAGGTTTCTCCACCTTCAATGAATTGAGAGCTTTCTCTCGCGTATGAGTTTTCTTATGTTTGATGAGGACGGACATGTGGGCAAAGGCTTTGCCACATTCACTGCAGGCATACGGTCTCTCTCCGGTGTGAGTTCGCTGATGCTGAATGAGCTTGGACTTGCTTCGGAAGGCTTTTTCACAGTCACTGCATTCGTAAGGTTTCTCTCCCGTATGAATTCTCTGATGCTTGGTCAGGTCTGACTTAAAAAAGAAGGTTCTCCCACATTCACTGCATTCATAAGGCTTCTCTCCTGTGTGAAGTCTCTGATGTGCAATGAGGTAGGCCTTCTGGGAAAAGGCTTTCCCACACACACTGCATCCGTAGAGCTTCTCTCCAGTGTGAGATCGCTGATGTCTACTGAGCCGGCACTTCCGGCTGAAGGCTTTCCCACATTCGCCGCACTCATAGGGTTTCTCTCCCGTGTGAGTTCTCTGATGTACCATGAGCTGTGACTTTCTGGAAAAGGCTTTTCCACAGTCGGCACATTCGTGGGGTTTCTCTCCCGTATGAGTTCTCTGATGTTCAGTGAGCTGAATCTTCCTCATGAACGTTTTCCCACATTCATTGCATCTGTGGGGTTTCTCTCCTCTTTCAGTTCTCTGATGTCTAACGAGCTGTGCCTTCCTGGAAAAAGCTTTCCCGCACCCACTGCACTGATGTGGTTTCTTTCCTGGATAAGTTTTTTGATGGTCACTGAGCTGTGATTTAGTGCTACTGGGTTTAACACAACCGTGGTATTTAATACTGGTAAGAGTTTTATCATGCTGGACGTAGTGAGATGATTTCCCATATCCGCTAAACTCATCAGAATTCTTTCCTGTGTGTCTTCTATTCTCAGTAACAAAACCTAAATGTGATTTCAAATGTTTACAATGTGAGCCAAACTTATTGTGTCTTTGTGTTAAAGGAACCAGACTTTTGCATACATTGACATTACTTCCAAGTGCATAACTTTGCTGATATCTGTCCACAGTTTTAATCCCGTTTTGGTTTTCTGGGTGCCACTGCATATGGTCAAGCTCCCACATTTCTTCTAGGAAAAAGAACAACGAAAATACTCATGATAATTTTAGGGGGGAAAAGGTACAAAAATGCCGTGGTTTGGGCTATCTCTTTAAGATCTCAGTCTAAGAGAAACGTACCCTATAGGAATGGATCCTATGCTCTGTGAAAAGGTTGACAATACTGTAAAATAGCTACTTTAGAAATAATGATGGATAGCCTACAATGAAGAAATATAACCTGGACTTCTTTCCAAAGAGGACCGTGCAAAATGGGGACAGAAACAGACACAGAACCACACTGTGACTGGAATACAACAAAAGAAGGCAGAGGGGATGGATTCATTCATCCAACAAACACTGAATCAGTTGGTGTTTGGGAAGATGTCACACTATCATATTAGAATATCAGAATTAGTATGTCACTGGAGTGTGACCGATATATTCTATCTCCATGGAGCTGCCATTCTAGCAACAAGAGAGAGGCAGCAACAACCAAGAGGTAAGCAAAGAAGGAAGAAAATGACAGATCGTGAAAAGTGGGATGAAGGAGGCGACGGAGCAGTGGCAATTCAGTCTTAGATAAAGCAGTCATCCTCAAGAGGAAAGAAGTTAAGCTGACATCATAGGATAAGAGGGAGCAACGTTGTGCAAATAACTAGATGAAGACTCCTCCACAAAGAGGGACCAACCAATGCAAAAACCCAAAGGCAGCAAAAACTTCAGCATGATCAGGAAACGTAAGGGAGGCTGGTGTATCTGGGACCATCCTGAGCTTAAAGGAAGTAGAGATAGTTAAGTTTAGAAAGGCAGGTAGAATTGAGAGCATATAGATCTTATAGAAAGACTTTGTCATAAATCGGATTTTATGCTAAGAACCAAGCCACCAAAACTTTTTTTGGCAGGAATACAACCAGTTTTGAATGGATATTTCCAAAAGGTCACACGACTCCTATGGAGGATGGCTTGGAGAAATGAAATTGTTGAGAAAACACACAGGAGGCTACAGCAGAGTGCAGGCAAGAGGTAACAGTAGCTTCAGCCTGGATGACTGCCATGGAGATGGAAAAAATGTACAAAATCAAAGCTCCTACGATGGAAGCGGAAAGGCCAAGCGTAGCGGAGGGAAAGACAAGACTCACCAGCAGGACCAATGCTGGAGGCAGAAGAGAGAAGAATCAAGAATTATCCTCAATATGTGGCTTAAGCATCCATCTAGAAGCTGGTGCCATTTAATAAATGGGGAAGAGTAAAGACACCGGTGTGGCGTTTGTGGGGAATCAAGTGTTCCATTTTGAGGTGGACGTCATGTTTGGGATGACTAATACATTCAAGAGAGAGTATGATGTACTCAGTTGGATCTATGAGTGTGGAGAAAGTTCTAGACTCTAGGTAACAATTTTAAGTCACGTGTTTATACATATTACTTAAATATGTGGACTGCATGAAACTATATGAGATAATGTAAGAATGAATAGAGAAAGAGGAAGGCCCAGGACAAATGGCTTCATGCACTCCCAAGTTTTAGAGTTTGGGGAGAGGGATGTGCAGGGACTATGAAAAGCCTGTCTAGAGACATCAAACCATATCTATGCTGATCAAACAATTGACATGGGTTTTAGTAACAAAGGGATGGAGCTGGAATGTAGGATCATACTGAACCGGAACGTAGGATCCACGGCATCTAATGCCAAGATTACTGAGCTAAAATACTCAATAATCGCCTTGTCACTAAATCTTTCCCCTCTCATGCCAACTACACACCAAAATTAAACTTTCCTAAAACACCCATCACCTAGTTAATTGTAATTCTCCAGTTAATACTCCAACTGTCTATATGGGTATGATACAACTTCAGAGGACCCAATACATCCAAACGCACATGTATCCATCTGAAATTTTAAAAGAAGTCCCTGGGCCATCTACTCATGTCCTGTGTACCAACTGGTGGAAACAGCACTTTCTTTAATCATATTGCAACTGTATATGGAGCTGTTCAATAAAACTTTCTGCAGTGATGGAAATGTTCTATATCTGTGTTTTCCAATATGGTAGCCATGTGTATGGCTGTTGAGCACTTAAAGTAACTGCAGAAATAATTTGTACTTTTACTTAATGTTAATTAAATTTAAATTTAAGTAGCCCACCTGTGGGTCATAGCTCTTTATACATGATCCTTTATACAGGAGCAAATGTCTTCTTCGGGACCTCAGCCCTTATTAAATATCAGCAAGCTTCACATTTTCTCATCAAGTTCCACTGCCTGCACGCCCTCCACCCACAGAGAAATACAACCATAACCTCAAAAGGAGCTAAAAGTAAAAAACTGGAATCAGCCAACAGATGCAGCAACTGGGGCAAAACAAGTCTGTATTATAGTGGCCTCCTTGGAAGGCGGGAATTGATTGTGGAATCTCCAAAAGGCCTTTGCAAAACAACAAAATTTGACAGGAACAGCACAGACCTTTAGAAATAACACGGCAGAGTGAAAGGAGAGACTCGAGGCAACCGGAAGGTGACCAGGCACCAGGGTGTAGAGCCGTATGGCAAAACCTCAATAAAAGGCACGGGGAGTAAAAGGATTCACTGGGAGGACAATGACCTCCTTCATGAGGCTGAAGGAACAAGGATTTCATAGGACAATTATCTCAGGTGCCAGCAAAATACAAGTTTAGAGGGCAGATTTGACTGTAAAAAGAGAGCTGTTAACTTGGGGATGCCTGTCAGCGTGCAGGAAGCCTACATCTTTGGTATCTATAGAAACACACTACAATGGTGAAGACGGTATCTGGGAGGAAGGAGGGTCCGGTTTCACACACAGGAAGCAGGACATCACAGGGCATCACAGCGGCCCTGGTGGCTGGTAACACGCAGAGGATTAGAGGGCAGATTAGACATTAGTAGCTGGGGTCAATCTGGGGCTCTCCAGCAGAGAACAGAAAGTTTAGGCCTTGAGAATGAATTAAACTTTCAACAGAAGATTAAAAAAAAAAAAAACAACAGACACAGAACTGAAAGCTGGGGAAACAGAGGGTGAGTTAGGAGAGGTGCCCTGAGAGACGAGGCACATGTGGTTCTCAGATGCACGAGGGTGAAGTGGATCATCGGCCTTTTCACAAGGGGCAGGGCTGTCACAGAAGGAAGGAGCGGTGCTGAGTGCACTGTGATCTGTGTAGGTCGTGAGGGGTTATCTCAGAGCAAGTCAGGTGGAGAACACGAAGTGAGAAGAAGAAAAAGGAGAAGGCATAAGTGAGCCTGCTGGGAGGAATGGAACCGGGTAAGACAGCAGGTGCCGGATGAGACAAACTACAGTCAGAGCCAGAAAATTTAAAAAAGGAAAACAAGGTGGGGAGGGTATAGCTTAGGGGGTAGAGTGTGTACTTAGCATGCATGAGGTCCTGGGTTCAATCCCCAGTACGTCCATTAAAATACATAAGTAAATAAATAAACCTAATTACCCCACCCCCAATAAAAAGGGGAAGACACCATGCTTTATTTAACAGCAGGCAAAGAAGAACAGCCCTAATAGAGAACATGCAGGAAGGTGTTAGGTTTCTGGGTCACCAGTGGGTGGAAGGGAAGTTCTCCAGGCAACATTCTGAGAGTGTCAGCCCTCCACTGGTGCACTGGAAGTTTAGTGTCCTTTCTCCCCATTTCCTCGGTTTTCACTCACTCACCTGGACAGGTGTGCCTAGGGGCTGCTCCCTCTGCTCTCCACGGTGGTTGTCCGCGCTCCCACTGAAACAGTGAATCTGGTTTGGTAGCTTGATGTCCTGTAAATGGGAAGTCATGGAACACTTGGCATTGAGCATCTGAGCCTGGGGAACCCATGAGAAAGCTGGAGAAAGTTATCTTTCAGGGACGACATCATTTGTACTTTGGTAAATAAAACCCTTTAACTAGGAAAGGGAGAGCACACACCCTAGGACCTATGGTGCTTTTAGTCCAGCTCATGAAATATTCCAGGGGCCCTACACATTTCACTGAGTGAGAAAAGAAAAAGCATCTGACAGTGACGCTGCCTGTCGGGCTGCACCCAGCAGACCTACAAGCCCTGTACTGGCCCAGCTTGAAGACCAAAGAAAGAGCCCAGAGTCAGTGACAGCGACATCAGTGGTTTAATGGATTAGGGGACCTTACACATCTGAAGCAAGGTCCTGGAGCGAGACCCTCACCGTGTGCGGTGGACGGTAGGCAGGACATGGCGGCAGTTGCGAGGGTACCAGTTATAGGGGGAACTGACATCAGGTTGGCTCACTGGTTACCAGGGAAACCAGGAGAGGGGCACGCCCCTCACCGCCCATTTGATAAGCCATCACAGTGGAGATGTTCTGATCCGAAGTTAGAACAGTCATCAGCTGGGGGAGGGGCAAGTATGCAGGAAGGTCAGTCAGGTGAGTAGGGTGCAGGGGAGCAGGCACAGTCGAGCAGGGGATGCTCAGGGAGCAAGAGAACAGCCATCTTGGGTGGCCTGACCCTGCCCTCTCCTTACCTACTGACACGAGGTTGTGGTAGTTCTCCAACATGACATCCCTGTACAGGTCCTTCTGGGATGCATCCAGTAGCTGCCACTCCTCCCAGGTGAAACCCACAGCCACGTCCTCGAATGACAACGATCCCTGTGATGACAAACCCCGGTGTAATCGGAGTCAGGACAGATGATGGGGGAAGGATGGACAGGGACACATTCGGACCATTCTCTCCCGGATAAACAGCGCACGCGGTGACTAGTTCACGTACCACGGACCGTGTGTCTTAGTCCACCCTGGTTGTTACAAGAAAATACCACAGATCAGGTGGTTTATGAAAACAAATTTACTTCTCACCGCTGTGGAGGCTGGGAAGTCGGAGATCAAGGCATGGCCGCGTTCTGGTGAGGGCCTGCTTCCTGGCTCAGTGGGCACCTTCTCACTGTTCTCACGTGGACGGGTGACAGACGTGCATTCTCTCCTTTTCAATGAAGGTACTGGGGATTGAACCCAGGACCTCGTGCATGTCAAGCACGGGCTCTACCACTGAGCTACAGCCACCCCCTACACCCGCCATGTATTCTCTTTTATAAGAACACTAATCCCATTCACGAAGGCCTCACCCTCATGACCTACACACCTCCCAAAGGCCCCATGTCCTAATGCCATCAGCTTTGGGGGTTCAGATTCAACACCTGAATTTGGGAGGCACACAAACATCCAAACCACAGCCCTGTGGAAGTCTACCAGCTAGTCCCTCTCTGCCTAAAAAAGTGCTAAAATAATATTTACACAGATGTAAAAAGCACTGTGCAGTAAGAATGTCTTTGCTTATAACAGTCAAAAATCTATCAGTAATTTAAATGTTTGCCATAAGCAGACAGGGTGTGCTGTATCTCTATGCTATGAAAAACTGTGCAAACATTAAAATCAATGAGGTAGATTTAAACGTACTGGTATCAGTGATCTTCAAGGCATTCTCTTTTTTTTAGGGGGGGATTGGATTTTTATTTATTTATTTTTAGAGGAGGTACTGGGGATTGAACCCTGGACCTTGTGCATGCTAAGCATATGCTCTACTATTTGATCTACACCCTTCCCCCAAGGCATTCTCTTAAATGAAAAAAAAAATCAAGTCCCCAAATTGTATATACAGTATGAGACCAGAAATGTGAGAAATCTTCATAATATATATATAATATATAATATACATAAAAATCTTAATAATATAGTCTAAGTATACATATGTATACATATATAAATGTATATGTAAATTAATGTAAATGTAAATATAGATATATTTTACCACTTGTCAATTATAGAGAGAGAATGGTGGGAGACCCAAACTATTAACATTTGTTACCCTTTGGGTGGGAGTTCAGCAAGAAAAAGGTAATAGGGGATATTCTCTTTTGGTGCCAAGACTTCTGTTTGCTTCAATATCTTGGAAATACTTACTAGAAAACAAGTTTAGGCTATAATCTTAAAATCAAGGCAAATTCGGAAGCAAGATATGCAGGCTCCAGGGGTCATACAAAGTTCTTTTTTTTTAAATAATGATATTTATTTTTATTATATTTTGTTTTTGCTTTTTAAAAAACTTTTTTTTAATGTTAAATTTAATTTAATTTTTTCTTTTTCTTAACAGGGCACTGGGGGTTGGACCCAGGACCTCATGCATGCCACGCACACATGCTCTACCACTGAGCTCTACCCGCCACCCGCTCGTACCGTTCTTAAGACTGGAGCCTAGGTAAGTGACTATTTAAGACCCTGTGGGTTGCCGTAACTTGAATATCTTGCATGCACATGTAACCATGTATCATCAGAGTAATTAAAAACACAAGAATAATTGGCTCCGGCCTCATGTTTTGGACTGGGGTTGGGAAGGCATATCTGCACCCTGAGCTGCTCTCAAAAAATGGAATTTTAGCTGTCTCCTGCAAATCAGTCCCACAAATCTGGTTGAGAGAATTCTTCATGGAGGACCACTCGAAGGTCAGGCAGCCCATCCATTCCACTGGATAGAAAAGGCGTTTTCTTGGGTAAAGTCAGACTCCCAGAAGGCTCCAAGTCAAGGCGTTCTCCTTTCAGAGAAACTTACTCAGCTGAGTTCTGCTTTGGTGTGACCCGCGTGGCCCACCCTGGGGAGCCCAGTAAGGAAAGGCCCAAGGACATCGTATGCCTTTGTTGCAAGGCTGACAATGAGGACACTGTCTACCACAAAGCCTCTCTGAAGAACTAGCAAAAGAAATTTAAAAAAAATTTTTTTATTGAGTGTGGTTGATTTACATCATAGTTTCAGGTGTACAGCAAAGGGATTCAGTTATACATATACATACATATGTATATTTTCTTTTCTGATTCTTTCCCATTAGGTGTTATTACAAGAAATGGAACACAGTTCCCTGTGCTATACAGGAGGTCCTTGTTGTTTATCTATTTTATATACACTAATGTGTGTGTGTTAATCCCCACCCCCTAACTTATCCCTCCCCAACCGTTCCCCTTCGGTAACTATAAAAGAAATTTCTTAAGATCCAAGAGCAATGAAATGTTTTCTTCCCCTGAAGACTGCTTTGCAATCACAGACAATGCAAATCACGTAACGTCTCACGTGCTTCCTGCTATAATGGCTGCCAAGAAAAGCAGACTCAGGCTCAGAGCTTCGGCACCCCACAGGGTCTTACACAGCCACTTACCTGGGCTCCAGCCTTAAGAACTTCGTACGGACCCTAGAGCCTACATATCTCGTTTCTGAATTTGCCGTGATTTTAACAGTATAGCCTAAATTTATTTTCCAACAGATCCTGATTTCTGTCAGTATACACTGTCTCCTTTCAGCAGACTGTTTTTTAGAAGCTTCCAGCAATCCACTGGGAAACAAAAGACAAAAAAGATTAAAACAAACCTCACCTGGACTTTGGTCATTTTCTCCAGTTCTTAAGAAAGGGCTAGCAACTCTAAGGTGTGCTCTGTCTTCTATCTCTCCGGGCCTGCCCCGAAGTTGTGGTCAGATATCTCAGGTCAGGCTGCTTCTGGAACGATGATCTCCCAAGCAAGGAACCCTCTCCTTCTATTGCAGAAAATGTCTTGTTCCCGCAGGATGGAACCTCTGGATGCAAGAGCAAATTCAGCTATGAGAGCCTGGGACCACAGCTCTCTCTTGTCATACGGACTCACTCTAACAGAAGGCCCCACATCTCCGGAATAAAATAGGTATTTTTTTAACAAAGGGGAAATGGATGCCTGGTTGGCGGCCAAGAGTAGCTAATAAATAATAGGTTAGACGAGGAAAGCCTACATTGATATTGAAAAACCAGTTCGTAAAACTTGGTATTGCTTTTGTTTTAAACCCGTAATAGGCTTGGAATAGTGGCAAAGTGAGCAAAAACGTATGTAAGGTACACAAAATATATGTTTAGGTCCACTAATGCAAGATTCACTGAATGAGCAGCTATAATCCATCTCATGGAATACTACATGATAAGTTCATATTTTAACAAACTTAAGTAAAAAATGGCCATAATATACAACTCAGTGGACAAGGCACATTTCTACTCATTATGTATAATACAATTCTATATTTCTGCAAAAGCAAAGCAACACACCTGTATCTGTGAGTACATGTGTGAGTGTGTATACACACTCTCACAAAAGAAAATACAGCAATGTTAATAATTATTATGGCTGGTCCGATATATTAGGATGTGAATTTTACAGCTTTTTCAATAAGCACAGGATATTTTCAATTACAACTGGAAGTTTACATTTTTAAATTTTAAATTAAAAAAAAACTCCAACTAAAGTTAAATTAAAGGTGTTGCCAAGTCACTGTACATCAATAGCCATGTTTGCTTTTGGAAGGAATATTTATTTATAAATGTTATTTATCTATTTAAATAAAATATTTAAATTTATTTTGTTATTTTAAATTAAATACACATTCAATCAACTATATCTCAGTTAAAAATGCAATTCGAACACTTCCACTGTAATTTTTTTTTTTGATTCATGGGTTATTTAGAGGTATATGAGATACTTGCCAAACAATTGGGGATATTCTATGTACTGTTTTGGCATTGCTTCAGAGCTTAATTCCACTGTAGTTAGAGAAAACAGCCTGTATGATTTCGATCATTTGAAATTTGTTTAGACTTGCTTTATGGTCTGCCATATAACTTTTTATCAATGTCCTATGGGCATGTGAGAAAACCTGTTGGGTGGAGTGTTTATATTGGTCAAGTTTGTTAATCATGTTTGTTCATCTTTCAAGGGTCAGCACTATGGTGGGCTGGTGACCTGTTTTTGTAAATAATGTTTTACTGGAACACAGGCACACCCATCTGTTTATGTATTCTCTATACTACTTTCATGTTATGGTGGCAGAGATGAGCAGGCACAGAAAGAGACCACTGGGCTCATAGAGCTTAAAATATTTACTATTTACTTCTTTACAGAAAGGCCAGAAAAAGTCTGCTGGCTCCTGTAAATCTACAGCCTTCTAGCTTTTTGTCTCCTTGGTCTCCATTACGGAGAGAGGCACGTTAAGAAGGATTCCCACTGTGACTGAGCATTTGTTATTTCTCCTCATATCTAGCATACTTTACACTTCAGGAATTCCGCTAAGTGTATACCCAACAGCAGCAAGATGCGTTACAAACTGTTCATTTAAGCATTATTCATAATAGCCCCAAGCCAGTAACAACCCAAATGTCTATTAACAGCAGAATGGGTAAGTAAACTGGGGTATAATCATACAACAGAACACTACACAGCAATGAAAAACCCATCTACTGCTATTTGCAATAACTTAGATAAATTTCACAACAGAATGTTGAACCAAAGAAATCAGATACAAAAGAACACATACTGTATGATTCCATTTATATAAAGTTAACAATCTGGCAAATTTAATATGTTTTTAGGATAATAATTGCCTCTGGAGAGGAGAGAGGAGATGAGGATGAGGTTAGGGCTACCAGGGTATTGTAATTTTTTTTTTTTAATTTTTAGTGTTATATTTGAAAAAAACTTTTAAAGAAAAGTATAGATCAGTTTTGCTTATAAATTTTCACCAAAAAACTTTAAAATTCTTAATATGAAAAATGTCAAGCAAAAGAAGGAACAGTATAATTAAACCTCACGCACACACACGAAAAAGAGCAGTATAAAATCATACTCCATGTATCTAATATGTGACTTCGGTAATTATCAACTCAAATCTAATTTTGTTTTATCTACACTACCACTCACTCCCCCTTCACCACTGGATTTTTTTCTTTTTCTTTTTCTTTTTAAGGGGAGGAAGTAATTAGGTTTATTTCAGTGGAGGTCCTGGGGACTGAACCCAGACCTCTGTGCATGCTAGGCAGGTACTCTACCACTGAGCTATCCTCTCCCTCTACACCACTGGATTATTCTGAAGCAAATCCAAGACATCTTTTCCTTCCTAGATGCACAAATATTAAATAAAATATCAGCAAACATAATCCAGCCCTATCTTAAAAGAACAAGTAAGGTTTCTTCCAAGAATACAAGACAGTGGGAAATCTAGCAACATAAATCAAAGAAAACTTTGAAGAGACAGAAAGAAATTATAAATGAAAATGAAATTAAAAAGCCTTTGAGGGGAATCTAATGTACAGCATAGTGATTATGGTTAATAACACTGTATTATATACTGGAAAGTTGATAAAAAGAGTACATCTTCAATGTTCTCATCACAAAAAAGAAATGGTAATTATGTGACACGATGTAAATGCAATATGTAAATGTATCAAATCAACAGGTTGTACACCTTAAATTTACAGACTGTTATATGTCAATTACATCTTACTAATGGGGTTGGGGGAAGTCTCTGAAAAAGAATAATTTGATAAAGTGCAGCTACCATTTATTCAAACTATACTATGTGTCAGGCACTACATGTTGTACTTAAATGACAACATTTGCTCATTTAATCTTCCTAACAACTATGTTAAGGAAATTATGAAAACTTTTTTCACAACGGAGAAGCCTGACTCAGAGATTAACCTACCCAAGTCGGAGGCAGAAGCAGCTCCTTCTTACTCCAGTCCACACACCTGCTGGCTGGCCAGAACTGTTGGCAGATGACAAAAATGCTCAACTAGAAAACATAAAGAAATCAATATGAAGCTACTAAGTAGCATGAGGTGAGACAATAAATATATCTTTTAAATTTTTGCTCTTGTGAATTACATAAAATTAGAAGAAACAAAAAAGAGGGAGTAAGGTTACATGGGGGAAAAACATCATTTACAATTAGAAAAAAAGTGTAAACTATTCACAAATAAACATCATAAAACACGTCCAAGACACATACAAAAAAAATCATAGCTGGTCAAAGAAATAACAAAAAACTTGAGTTAAAGGAAATCTACTGCACGTTCCTGAAAGTGTAGTGCCTACATCAGTGGGTAGGGTATAGCTCAGTGGCAGCCGGCGTGCTTAGCATGCACGAGGTCCTGGGTTCAATATCCCCAGTACCTCCGTTAATAAACAAATAAACAAACCTAATTCCTTCTCTCCCCACTCCCCCCCAAAAAACAGACCTACATCAGTCTTACCGAAATTAAAACATTCACTTGATGGAACATAACTGCAGCAGTTAAAAAAAGAAATAAAGAAACCTTCCAAAGAGTTTGTAATATGGAAATGGTATAACAGGATGTTAGATTAAAAATGCATAAAATTGTAAGAATACCTACACAACTGATCCCAATACTAAAAAATGAAATATACTAATTTTAACGAGTCGTTTTCTGGAGGAGTATTAGGAGGATGGAGGTGTCATTACTTGGGTCGGGATAAACCCGAAAACGTGTTTCAATAGGAACATACAGTAAACATGGAACACAAGAGGACCAGAAACCCCATTTCTAAAATTAAACATGTGGTAAGCGCCCCAAATGGTGCCCCCAACGCGGAGACGACTTCCAACTCCCCCAGCCACAGACTTTCCAGACGCTACTCTGCAAAAAGACCTCCCAAGTGTTCGCCCCAACAAGGAATCCCGTGAGCTCTCCCCCAACGCGGGGGAACTCTGAGCACGCATCCCCGGTCGGATCCCCCAACATGCATCACCGAGCGAGGACTACCGCTCGCTTGCCCCAACACCGACCACTACGCAGGCTGGGACAACCGCCACAAAACACCCCAACGCACTTTCCCTGGCCCAGAAACACGCTTGGAACCCGATACTGACCTGACGGATGACCTCCGTCTTCACCGCTGGACCAAACCACGGAACCACAGTTCTACACACTTTGCTTTAGAGTCCGTAGCCCGGCGATCAACCCCCGCAGGCGTTAGGACCCTCGGAAGCTGGAAGGATGGCGGCCGACGAGAGCCAATAGACCTTCGTCCAGAGCCGCGGAATCTGGTTCCTCGCAGTCCCTCTGTGACGTAGTATTGCCGCGCCCGGTTCGAGGATCTTGACCGGGAGCCGCCATTTTCTCAGGTATTGCCGTACGGCGGGCAAGGTCTTGCTCTTTCTGCCTTTCGCGGGAAGGTACAAAACGGTGATGTTCAAAAGCTATTGAAAAATGACCTGTATCAACCCATTTCCAGGCCACTTGACCCACCGGGCCCCGACTTTGCAACATTCGCCAGGGGCGCTACACAAACGCTTAGCTTCTCAGAAACTCAGACCTGCCCTGATCTCTCTGCGGCGTGGGCAGAGATGTCGCAGGCGTTTAGGCGTTTTGATTTAAAGGACAGAGAGAAGCTAAGTGAGTGCGACCGTCTCAAGGGGACGTTCAGCAGGGAGGGAACCCGAGCCGAACCAAGCTGCAGTTGGAGAACCGACAAGTGTCCTAGGAATGCTGACTGGGGTGGGAGGTGGGGGCGGGGCTTGGAAGCCGCTGTAGGGTTTGGAGAACCGCTAAGGAAGGCACTGGTCTGAGAGTGGATAAAACGGCAGGATTATACAGCTCTCGTTATGACGGGTGTGGAAAGCGGGAACACGGTTCATCAGAGATTGGCAAAAGGGGCAAAGCCAACGGAGAAGGGTGGTTTCACCTCCAATGTGGGTGGGAGGAGCCCCAGGTAGGGCAAGGTTTCCTTCTACAAAGATGGGAAATACTTTTGAATCAAGGGCTGAGTGGGGAGGGAGCGTTTAGCATGTATGAGGTCCTGGGTTCAATCCTCAGTACCCCCATTAAAATAAATCTAATTACTGTCCTCCCCACCCCAAGCTCATAAAAAGGGAAGAGATTCCGTTCAATGTTGCAGCCCAACTGATTAAACTGAGAGCTCCTAGTGCACACCGCACTCCCTGTAATTATACAGCCAGGCTCAGAGAGCCTTCGAACTAAAGGGGTTAATTATTTATTCACCGAGCAGATGTTTATGAAATGCCTACTATGTGGCAAACTTTTCTGCTTGCTGGAAATACAGAAGATAGAAACGCAGACAAAAACATCTTTCTTCGTGAAGCCGTACATTCTACTGGTGTAGAGAATGTAAAAGTAAAGTTGCTGGTTTGATTCTCTCATTACAACGAAGTGTTACGAATCCCACCAACAATGTAACCTACAAGTAAGGAGTGGGTATAGCTCAGTGATAGAGCCCGTGTTTAACACGCACGAGATCCTGAATTCAAACCCCAGTACCCCCACTTAAAAAAGATGAAAAAAATTACCTCCCCCCTCGCAAAAAAATTAAAAATAAAATGAATAAATTCAAATTACCATTGAACCAAAGACGATTAGTCTCAAGCCTTAAGATCTAAGAGCTAGCTGTACACTAGTAATTGACATAACATTGCAGACTGAATATACTTCAATTAAAAAAATCTAGTAAAATTTGTTTCTCTAGGTTTTGGATTTGCTTGGCAACTGTCACTTTTTTTCCCTTATGATTGCTTTTAGAATGAGAAGGTCTATCCTACCCATGTCCCACCATAGTGTTTTGGAAGCATGTAACTTACCTGGTTTCATGGGTTCAAAGCTGGAGAGGAATTTTGCCTCCAGGTGAATTGTACCTCAAGTCTCACCCAGATCTGATTTAGATGAGAGTATGGACTGTAGACTTTGGAGTTAATGTTGGAATGAGTTAAGATTCTGGGGGCTGTTGGGATGGAATGCATGTATTTTCCATGCAAGGTCATGAATTGGGCAGGGGAGAGGGGGAAAGAATGGGGCCAGTAGTGGAAAATTACAGACTGAATGTTTGTATCTCCTCAGGTTCCCATGTTGAAGCCCTAAAACCCAGTGTGCCTGTAGTTGGAGATGGGGTTCCTAAGGTAAGTAATTAAGATTCAGTGAGGCTGTAAGGGTAGGGCTCTGATCCAGTAAGTTTAGTGTCCTTGTAAGAGAAACCAGAAAACCCTGTGTCACCAGAAACTATCTGCTGGAACTTGATCTGGGGCTTGCAGCTCCTGGGATTGAGACAATTTCTGTTGTTTAAGCCACCCGCTCCGTGGTATTTTGTTGTGGCAGCCAAAGCAGTCTGATACAGTGACTTACACTGCTTGTAAAATTTGCTGGGGGAGGGCAGAACTCTATGGCAGATCGCGTGCTTAGCATGCACAAGGTCCTGGGTTCAATCCCCAGTACCTCCATTAAAAAAAAAAATTAGACAAATTTTAACCTACGTTGCATTCTTTGGATAAACCCAGTGTAGTCATGGAGTGTTTATCTTTCTCATGTATTGTTTATGTGTTCAGTAGAAACCTGGGAAATATTCGTGGCATTGTGATGGAAGGACTATAATTCTGGATCAAGCAAATTTAATAATATGGGCTTACTATGAATTGATTCTGGCTTAAATGGGTGAGCTCAATTAGAGTGGCTCTCACAGTTTGCTTGGTTAGTTGACTGACATCTGACTCAAAGGTGGCCTACACTAAAATTTCAATGCCAGAAATTCTTACATAAATTCAGAGTCAAAGAAATGTGACCACTAATCATCATATAATTCCATATGCATACCTTTGGATACTTTACACTATTATCATATGATATTGGGTTGGTATTGAAGGTAATTTTTTAAAAAAGAAAAGAAAAAGGATCCACAACTGGGAGAAGTGAATATAGTGTGATAAACCAGTGATGCAGGGTGGACTATCTCCTTTAAATTATGGATTCATTAGCATAGTGACTAGGAATGTGGTTTGAGGCTTCCTCTCCAGAAATGTACATCAGGTGGGCTATGTAATGTGTAATGAAGTGAGAAATGGTAACAAAGCCCTCAAATATTCCTCATTTTCACAGGCCTTTGCTTCAAAAGAACTTTAATATTTTGTTAAAGGCTTTCCAGTTAGTGTGTTCACAGTGCTAGTTTTATATGATTTCACCAGCTAGTAGATGAGGCACTGAGAACCCTGCCCCGTTCACTGCCTTCCAACAGTTTCTCCCCAGTATGTAATGACACCTGTTGAGGGCAAGGACTTTCCCTCCCACTTTCATTATATTTCTACTCACTGTGAGTGCACCGATGATGGCTGATGGGAGACACGGCCTATCTTCCAAAACACAGCCTCCCTAAGCTCCTCACTCACAGGCTTTCAGTGTACACATCACCATATCATCAGGTAGACATTGTTGCTCAAGGCTTTTCCAAACAATGCACCAGTGTTTTCCTGTGTGTTTTTTGTGACATAAAATGTGATTGACCACTGAAGGCATAACCACATTCACTGCATTCATAAGGTTTCTCTCCTGCACACACACACTGTCTCCTGAGGATGCACATTTGGCATTGGCTGGCCCCCAAGGACTACATTCCTATCTGCTAGGAGCCCCCTGAGGGGTCACAGAAGGCATCTATACAGTCACCGTACTAACAGGGTCTTCCTCCTGCATGAGTTCACTGGAATCTAAAAGCTGTGACCCTTTGTGGAAGGACATTACACCTTCACTAAATCTACATGTTGCTCTCTTGTGTGTGTCCTCTTATGCTTAACCAGGTAGGATATGTTAGAGAAAGCCTTCCCACACTCGGTGCATCCATAGGGTCTCTCTCCTGTGTGAGTTCTGTGATGGACAATCAGCGTTGTCCTTGTCGTGAAGGCTTTCCCACAGTCACTGCACCCATAGGGCTTCTCTCCTGTGTGAATTCTCTGATGTTTAATGAGTCCTGATTTCTGCGAACAGGATTTTCCGCAGTCGGTACAGACAAAGGGAGTCCTTCCTGTATGAAATCGCTGATGTGCGACGAGGCAGGCCTTCTGGCTGAAGGCCTTTCCACACTCAGTGCATCCATAGGGCTTCTCTCCAGTGTGAGTTCGCTGATGGATATTAAGATTACCCTTCTGGATGAAACCTTTTCCACATTCACTGCATGTGTAAGGCTTCTCTCCTGTGTGAGTTTTCTGATGCAGAATGAGCTGCGTTTTTGTGGAAAAAGCCTTCCCACACTCACTGCACCCGTGGGGTTTCTCTCCTCTTTCGTTTCTCTGATGTACAATGAGTTCTCGCTTCCTGCAGAAGGCTTTGCCACAATTAGTACATTCATAAGGCTTCTCTCCTGTGTGAGTTCTCTGGTGCTCAATTAGCTTGGACTTTCTGTAGAATGCCTTCCCACATACACCGCACACGTGGGGTTTATTTCCCGTATGAGTCTTCTGGTGTTCCGTAAGCTGAAATTTCCTGAGGAAGGCTTTTCCACACTCACCACACTCATGGGGTTTCTCTCCTTTGTGAGATCGCTCATGTTCAGTGAGCTTGAACTTCTTGGAGAAAGCTTTCCCACACACACCACATCCGTGGGGTTTCTTTCCTGTATGAATTCTCTTATGTTCGTTGAGCCGACACTTCTTGAGGAAGGCTTTTCCACATTCAGCACATTCATAGGTGTTCTCTATTTTGTGTATTTGCTGATGTTCAAGTTCAGGATGAGTTTGCTCACGATTAGCGTGAAGCAAGGCTCTTCCCTCTCCAGTAAGCTCAGCAGGCTCTTCTGGGTCAAAGCGACTACTCTGGTTGATTACATCTAAATATGGTTTCAAAGTTTTTCCATGTAAATCAAATACATCATGATTTGGCTTTAAAGGAAAACAATTTTTGCTCCAATGAATACTATTCCCAAACGCATCCTGTCCATAACACTGTTCCATCCTCTGCGGCATATTTTGGTTTTGCCAGTGCAGCTGCACAAGACCAGCCACTTTCTCAATTTCTAGGAAAGAGAACAATGAACCCTTCCATGAACATCACATGGAATAAAACTACTTCAAAAAATCTTGGGGTGAGCTGGCTCTTTAGTGGAAAACCTACGATAGCAAATATAAAAAATACTCCAGGTATAAATGTGCCTCATCTCTCTTTTTTAAAAAAGCTTATAAAAGTTATAAATATATATGATAAATATTACCATTTTAACAATTTGAGTGTACAGTTCTCTGGCATTCAGTAGGTCCACACTGCTGTGCAGCTGTCACCACCATTCATCTCTAGAACTTTTGCATCTTCCCCAACTGAAAAACTCCATCCATTAAGCACTAACTCTTATCTCTTGGAAATGGTTAAAAACACAGTAATGCAACTGAGGGGGAAACAGAAACTAAGAATTTGGAGGATGAAGAGAAAGACGATCCTATGGAAGAATGGGGTTCTGAAATGAGAGCTGCAGAGAAGGAACTGGAAGAGCTAAAAATTGAGGAAGAAAAGTGTCAAAGGTTACCTTCAATTTGAGTGTTAGAAAATCTGCCACACTTCACATGGCTAAATGACTTCCCACCTCCAGGAACTGACAAGGTTGAGGACGTAAGTGGCCTTCACATGGCCAATTTTAGGCCAGTCTTGACAGTCTTGTACATGGCCTTGCACAGTTCTAGTTTCTTGCCACGTTTCCTCATCATCTTCATAATTCAGAAACCCACTTGTATCTCCTGCACACAGTGCTTAAGGACATAGTCATTCTCCATTCTCTCTTTACCACTTTAGGCTACTTACAAGTTTCTAAAATAGGCCCTATATTTACGATTCACAGTGAACTTTGCACAGTGTTCAGTTAGAGCAAAAACATTTCACACGTTCAAAAGCTTAATTTGTAAATATTACACGAACATTTGTCCTAGCTTTGCTCATAAAAATCTTTGCTCTGAAAAAAAAAACCAAAAAACAAACCTTTGCTTTGAAATTGTTTCCCACTAAACTCTGTCTCTTCTACCAAAAATTCTTAGCATCATCTTCCACCCTTTTTTTCCCTTTAACATTCCATCTTGGGGTTTGATTATGTCTTCCAAAGAGATATGTTTAAATCCTAACCCCAATAAACAACAAGGTCCTACTGTATAGCACAAGGAACTATATTCAATACCTTGTAATGGCCTATAATGAAAAAGACTATGACAAGGAATATATATATATATATATGTAAATGAATCACTATGCTGTACACCAGAAATTAACACAACATTGTAAATTGACTATACTTACATTAAAACACACACACACACACACACTCACTCGTCATGTAAAATGAATGAATATTGATAGCCAAATGTCTATCTTGGCTTTGAATTAGTGTCCAGATTGAGAACACATGATGATCAGTTCATAGTTAAAGCAATATAATATTTTTAAAGGATTTTATAATCTTTTTCAATAGTTATTAAACTAATTAGTTACATTAAGCTTAAGAAATAAATACTATTTAATAAAGATCAATTGTGAAGCTTAAAAAAAAAATCCAAACCCCTCGTAGCTATGAATGGGACCTGATTTGGAAACAGTGTCTTTGTATGTGTAATCAGTTAAGATGAGGCCACAGTGGATTAGAGTGATCCCTAATCCAATGACTGGTGTCCTTGTAAGGAGAGGGAGATCTGGCTACAGACACACAGAGACATGCAGGGAGAAGGCCATGTGATGACAGAGATCAAAGACTGGAATGATGTGTCTACAGTCTCAGGAACATCAAAGATTTCTGGCTGCTCCCAGAAGTGAGGAAGAGACAAGAAGGATTCTTTCCTAAACCTTTGAAAGGGAGCGTGGCCCCACCAACACCTTGATTTCCAAATTCCAACACCTACAATTGTGAGAGAGTACATTTCTGCTGTTTAAAGTCACCCAGTTTGGGGTAATCTGTTACAGTTGCCCAAAGAAACTGAGATACCCCATATCTAGTTCAATGGCAAATTCAATCAGCCTTTATTCATCCAGAACCTTCCAGTACTCTCTTCAAGCCGGGCTGCAGTCATCAAGAACCAGGTCTCCCATCTAACTTTCTGCGTCAACACCTGCCTATTCGTCTATTCTCTACCCATAGCCAGAGTGATACTCTGAAACATAAATTATATCATGTCACTGCCACACTTAACCTTCTAAAGGTTTCTCAATCCATTAGGAGTGAAACCAAGTCCTTGAAATAGATGATAGGACCCTACACTACCAACTGACCTATCGACAGCCCCCAGCTAAGACCCCACTGACCTCATCTGCTGTCATTTTCTATCTTGCTCACTCTGCTCTGTCTACATGGGCTTCCTTGATGTTCCTCTAACATGCTCTTGTCTTTGCTGTGAACGTCCCATTCTCTCCACTCTTCACCCAGGAAACCTCATAATGACTCATCTCTCTGCTCAAAGGCACCTAGATTATACAGGGATTCCTACTCCTAAGAGAGGGGCCCCAGCCTCACCACCCACTCTAACACATGCTGATGAATTGCTGTTTACAACCCTTTTCACCACCAGATATAGCATGTGTGTACTTTTTCCCATTTATACTCAGTGTGATAAAATACACATAATGCAAAATTTACCATCTTAATCATTTCTGAGTGCATAGTTCAGTAGTATTAAATGCATTCATAATGTTGTGTAATGATCACCACTGTCTGTCTCCATTAACTCTTTCCATCTTGTAAAATTGAAAATCTGTATTTGTTTTGCTAAATTTCTGTCTCCTCCTCTTTGAGAATAGGGACTTAAGTCTTTCACAGTAGAGAAGTTTCTCTGTCATAGTAATATGGTCACTTGGGACTTAATGTCATCAGAAAGGAATTCAGCAACAAAATCTACAGTTGAACTAAAAGAATGATTAGAGTTAACAAATACACAAAGGTGGGCATGAAGCTTTATGATTCTGTTCAGGCTAGGAATTGAGAATGAGAAATTTTATAAAGGTTTTTCCTAGTTAAACGAAGAACAGGAACACCAAAGACCTTAAACACAGGAGCTCAGGGAGTAGAGATAATTCAAGGTAATGCCAGGATGGGCAAGATTTATGATGCACAGAAGTACAAGAGTCAGGGAGGGAAACAGCTCAGTGGTAGACACAGGCTTAACATGCATGAGGTCCTGGGTTCAGGTCCCAGTACCTCCACTGAAAAAAAAAAGGGAAGTACAAGAGAATCTGAATTTCAAAAAGGACGATGAAAAGGGATTTTCTTGGAGGGAAGATAATCGAGTTCCTCACACAAAAAGTAGGAACTCATAAGGAGGTGCCATGGAGATGTGAAATATATGGTACCAGCATGTGTATTAGACAGTGTTAAGGACGTGTCAACTGAGAGTCTCCACAGAGAATAAGAGCTCAACACATCTGAAGGAAGTAAGGTTTTACAGCCTATGAGCCAGAGCAGAGGATGAAAACATAACTCTAAAGATGCTTAGAGTAAAGAAAAAGAAAAGTTGAGCAAGCAGATAAATGTACATTAAGAGACCAGTTACCACGAGAGTAAGACATCCGAGGTATGGCTGGATGTCATAAAAGGAAATAAACATTTCCCAAAGGGGCAGGAAGGTGTATTAGTGAGAAGATAACGATGAAGTCAAACTTTTCTCTTAGAAAGACACAGAAGGAGGAATTTCATAGCAAGTGACGTGAAAGGAACCCAAAATCATACTCTGATGATTTGAAAATCCAAGCAAGAATAATCCTAGGGGGGAAAGCTGACATCTAAGAGGAAATAAACAAGAATTTGTTCGAAGAAGAGATAAAGGGGTGTTTTCCTCTAAATTCCCACACAGCAAGAGTCTCGTACGGGAGGAGGGATACACAGAGGCTATTTCTGTATCCTTAGACCCCCTCACCACAGTGGTGCCTTCTCTAAAGGACCAAAGTGATTTCCGCAGCCTTGCCCCTCCTGCAGGTTCTCTCTCACTGACCTGGATGGGGCTGATTATGAATTTCGTGTTCTAAAGTCCATGGCGGTTCTGCCTGTTCCAGCTTGGAAAGTGTATCTAGGTTGCGAACTTGGTACACTGTTCGTGGGAGATGACGGAAGACTTACTAGGCCTACCAGACGGCACTAGGGATCTGTGACCCTGAGAATGGTACGCTTTAGCGACTGCACAATTTGCATGTTTGCAAATTAAAGGCTTTCCACTAAAATGAGGGGAGATTAAACCTTCTCATCTGGGGCCAGGCTGTGGACTGAAAATCTACTTCAGAGCATCACAGACACAACGAAGTGTTTAGAAGCTGAGAAAGGAAAGGCGCTGTCCAAGGGACACAGGGAGCGTTCTCACCCACGGACACCAGGTGGCTGTAGTTCTGCAGCATCACCTCCCGATACAGGGCCTTCTGGGCAGGGGTCAGGAGCTGCCACTCCTCCCGTGTGAAGTCCACGGCCACATCCTTCAGGGTCAGCGATCCCTGTAACAACACAGTCCTGTTTAGTATGAATGTGTCTCTAGTTATTGAAATGGAAGGTGTGAGATAATAGAAAATATACTTAAGGGCCTGTCCCTGATTCCCAGTACAGAGCTTCTAAAACCCTCGCAGTTTCTTAAGTGATAAGAACACTAGGAGCATCTTTTGTTCTAATAGTTATTTGGTTCCTGACGCAAGGCTCCTGAAATGCTTGTCAATTCCTATGTGGTAAGTATTGGGTTCAGAAAACTTCTGGGTTGCCGAGCACGTGGAGGTGCTGGGGGTGTCGCACCCCATGGAGGGCATGGAAGCTCCGTGTCCCTTCCCACATACCTTCCCCTGGGCACCTCTTCCATCTGAATGTTCATCCATATCCTTCACATCTTTTACAGTAAACTAGTAAATGTAAGTAAGTGTTTCCCTGAGTTCTGTCAACCATTCTTAACAAGTTAACTGAACCCAAGGAGGGGGTTACGGGAACCTCCGATTTGTAGCCAAGTTGGACAGAAGTTGCAAGTAACCTGGGACTTAACTATTTTCGGTTGGCATCTGAAGTGGAGAACAGTCTAATGGGCTGAACCCTTAGCCTGTGGGACCTGATGCAACCTCCAGGTAGACAGTGTCTGGATTGAGTTAAATTGTAGGATGCACAGTGGGTGTCAGAGAATTGCTTGGTGGGAGAAAACTCCCACACAGCTAGTGTCAGAAGTGCTGTGAGTGTGGTAGTGGCATGTGAGCAACGCAGAGACCCAAGGGGAAGGACCGGGTTTCTCCCTATTCAAAAGGAAGGTGAAGGAAGTTGTTCTGCTCATTTTCACCACCTATATTCCTGTTTTTCCAATATATTGTGAAAGAAGCGAAGTCCTATTAAAATATTCAGTCATCTATTCATTTCAGCAACTCACAAAGTTCTGTAATGTGTGGCCATGAAATCCTCTTGCTCACCTGAGGTTGTCTGCACGCTTTTCAGCACCTACTTGTTGATCACTGAGCTATATGCTTGTGACATCAGAACAATGTACTGAGTCTACTCGTGTAAAAAAGGTCAATTAAACATGTAAAATCATGTGTGTGTGTGTGTGTGTGTGTGTTTTACATGTAAAACATTACCAAAAAACATTTGGTAATGATGTGCTAGCAGATGAGGTAAAAGTATGGGGTGGGGAAGGAAGATTTGTTTTCTCACTATGGATACTATATAATTTGAGTCTTTTACATTGAAAAAGTATCCAGAAGTCTGGGCTTTTTTTCTGACACCAAGTACGTGGTATCTTTTCCAGTACCAACTCTCCAGCTCTCTTAATGCCCTGACACCAAATGGATGGCCTACAATTCAATCCTGTTCTGACACCAACAACTCAGAGTTAGCATCAGGCTCCCCAGGTGTAAGGGCTCAGTCCCACAAGACTGCCTTCACTTCACACACCAGACTGAAGTCCCAGGTTCCCAGCACTTGTGTCCAGCTTGGCAGCAACTCCAGGGATTCCTGCAGCCTCCCCACTTAGGCTTCATAATCTGCCGGAACTCACAAACTCAGGAAAATGTTAAACTTACTGGCATAGTTTATTATAAAGGATACAAATGAACAGCCACGTGAAGAGGTCCAGGGGCCTCTGTCCCAGCGGAGCTGGGATGCACCACCCTCCCAGCAGGTGGCTGTGCTTGCCCACTTGGAAGCTCTCTGAACCCCTCCGGGCTCTGTTGATGGATTAAATCGCTGGCTACTAGGGCTCGAGCTCAGTCTCCAGCCCCTCTCCTGTCCATGAAAGTCAGAGCAGAGCTGCAAGTAACCCTCTAATCAAGGCTTGGTCTTCCTAGAGATCAGCCCCCATCCCGAAGCTGTCTAGGGGCCCACCCTGCGTCACCTCATTGGCATAAACTCACGTGTGGCTCAAAGGGGCTTGTTATGAATAAAAAGAGACACTGCTACCACTCAGGGAATTACAAAGGTTTTAGGTACTCTGTGCCAGGGACCAGAGACAAAGGCCGAATATATATAATACCTTTTACTGTGCCACAGTGAGTTATTTGTGTAATTAAAATAAAGGCGACGAGGAGGTAGGAGGTAATAACTACATTTAGAGGGTATTCTCTTTCAGTTGTCAAAATTTTATAAGCAATTGAACTTTTTCTGGTTAATTTTTCTTTATTACTTGATCAGTGATTTCATTTTTAACAGCTTTATCAACTTGGAATTTCAAATTTAGTGTCAATACAATAACCATCCTCACTCAAAAATAATGATACCTCTTTGAATGGGACAATAGCCACACCAGGATCAGATGTCACTGCTTCAAAGGTTAATATTTAAACTGACCAAACATCACATTGATGATTATGTATTATTTTGCTAGTTTCAATATTTAGATGAGTTCTTTTCAATGTAGTTCACTAACTGTATTTCAAATAAATATAACAATATCTGACTCTTTCCTATCTACACAAATACTTAATGTTTTGGTCATGAAAAGTATAGTCATGACCAGATTTTGAACAGGGAAGGACCCTGTATTTTCTGAGATAAGGTGAAGTTCTAAAGTACACTGTGGATCTCAGCAACCCAAGACATTACCGAACAATAGAACTTGACTCCCTGTGGCCAAGTCTGTACTCAAGCACCAGTTCAGCAATCTGTGCACAGATGACCTTAAGAAACCATGCAAATCTTCCATTTTCCTGGACACTTTAGGTTTTATTCAGAGATAAACCCAGCCAGAAACAAGTGTGGGTACGTAAGTCACCAGGCTGTGGTCTTCTGAAAACCTGTGTCCACTGAATTCTACTTGGTCTAGTCCCTCATGGCACTCAGAATAATCATATAAGAACCATACACAGCCTGTTTGTACATCTATTAGGAGAATGCTATGAACACAGAGTCCACCACATCACCTCTAGAAAGAAATCATCGAAGATATTTCCTAAGACTTAAGTACCATGAGACATGACATCACCCGAGGAACTGATGTGCCTTCTCCCAGGGTCAGTGCATATCACATAACTCATCATGAGTCTGTGGGTGTGGCCGGCAGCTGACCAACAAGGTCCTACGGAGCCACACATTACATTCCAACGCTGGTCACGCGGTACGAACTCTAGGAACAATATATTCCCGATTGTACTTTGTCCTGGTTTTGAAGGTACAGCCTAAGTTTATTTCTCCCCAGAACTCATTCTTCCCAATGTACACTTTTCATTTAAATGAACTGATTTTTTTTCAGGCCTCCACAAATTCACAAGGGAATCAAACATAAAACAAACCAAAAGTCACCTGGGCCTTCGTCATTTTCTTCCGATTTGGAAAATGCCCAGTAACTGGGATGTTATGTTTATAGTTTCTTCTGGATCTGCCCTAAATCTCTGTTCAGAAATCTGTCTCAGGTGAAGGATGTCCCACGAAATGACCATGTGCAACTCCAGGAACCTCCTCCTTGTCCTTTACTTGATCTCTCCTGCTCCTGGGAAGCCAGGACCTGTGGGAGGAAGAGTAAGTTCATTTGGGGTGATACCTTCCCTCTGGGCCGCTGCTGCTGCTGCTGCTGCTGTGCACCCACCTTATGTCAAGGCCAGCACTTCTAACTGCCCCTTTGTTTGGTGCTCCTGGGGCAATAAAACATACCAGTCTAAGTGGCGGGGGGAGTAGGCCTTTCTTCAGAGAAGTAGAAGTAACAAGACTGAGAAAGGGAAGACGGGAAAGGAAAACCAGCTCAGCACAAAGCCTCAAAGAAGCCAGAAGGCTTCTCACACAGATCGGTTTTGGGAAAGAGGACACCTAGTAGGTGAAGCTCTGGACATTTTTTCCCTTAAAATCATGTGTCCACATACCCCTCTGCAGTGGGTTGAATGGTCACCTCCTAAAAGATATGTCTATATCTTAACCCCCACGAACCTGTGAATGTGATCCTATTTGGAACAAGGGTCTTTGCAGGTATAATTAAGTTAGGGATCCTGAGATGAGACCATCCTGGATTATCCACGTAGGCCCTCAAATCCAGTGAGTGTCCTTATACCAGACACACTGAGAAGAAACACACACGGAAGATGAGACCACGTGAAGACAGAGGCAGACAATGGGGTTATGCTGCCACAAGCCAAGGATGCCTGGAAAATCTGTTAGAAAGGAGGAGGAAGTTAATGGATGTTGGGCAGGTGTGCCGTTGTGGGGGAGGTGGGACCCCAAGACCAGCTGAAAGCCAGTGATAAAAGCACTCAGTAAGAGCAAAGGGGTGTGTGTGTGTGTGCAGTATCATTTTTCACCACAGTTCTGGAAATACTCCCAATACAATTGGATAAAAGAATAAAGTAGAATTCCTAACATTAGAGATGGAGGTCAATTTTAGTAAGCACCAAAAATAAGAGTATTAGGTTAGCTGACCAGTTACACAATCTATATGTAACAGCTGCCAGCACTGTGGAGTGACATCAGCAAAAACGGTGAAGAGACCTCCAGGGGACTCTGCCTCCTCGGGAGCACAAAGAAACCTGGCAGAAGCTGTCAGAATCAGCCTTATTGGAACTCTGGATGATAGTCTATGGTTTACAGAAACAAAGTGAACAGCTGACCAGGTTGAAGGCCACTGAAACCGACTGGGAGAGTTTTTACGGCATTCTAAACTAGCCTCGCCCCGCACCACGGCAGACGGGCAGTCCTGAAGATGGCAGCCCGTGTTCCTGATGTGGATGGATACCTGGTCCTGGAAAGAACAGTAACCTTGTCCCAAGGAATTAATAAGCTTGTTTGTTTTGACCTGTCTATGGGTTCCCTGAAAGACCGATGAGAGGCCAATATATAAAAGACACACTGAGAAGAACTCTCTGGTGGATCAGCAGGAGCAGGAAGAGAAGCCTAAGGCAGTGTCATAAATGGCCTGGCTAAGTTTGAAGGAGTGACCCAGAGTCAATAAGCAAAAAACTTAAAAATTACTTTTTTTTTTAAACTCAAAGACTTCTACACGAAGACACAAAGTTCAAACTGATGGAGACAGAATCTTTAAAGCAGTAAAAGAGAACCAACTGTCAGATGCAATGAATGTAAGAGGGAAAATTATTAAACTCCTTAGATGAAAACATAGGCATAAATCCACCTGACCTCAGACTTGGCAACAGAGCCTTAGATATGACACCAAAAAATACAGAGATCAAAGAAAATAAGATTTCATCAAAATTCAAAACTACTCTGCATCAATAGGACATTACCTGAGAGTGAAAAGGAAACCCACAGAATGGGAGAAAATATTTGCAAATCATGTAATTGATAAAGGTCTAGTGACAGAATATATAAAGAACTCTTACAATTAAATAACAAAAAGACAACAATGGGCAAAAAGACTTGAACAGACATTTCTCCAAAGAACAAATAAGGATGGCATATAAGAAGATGCTCAGTGCCATTTGTCATTAGAGAAATATAAATCAAAACCACAATGAGGTACCACTTTACCACTTCACACCCATCAGCATGGCTATAAAAATAAATAAATAAAATCGTAAGTGTTGGTGAGGATGTGGAGAAACTAGAATCCTCATATACTGCTGGTAGCAACATAAAATGGTGTAGCCGCTATGGAGAATGGCTTGGCAGTTACCCAAAAAGTTAGACACAGAATTACTTTATGACTTACCAGTTCTACATCTAGGTATATACCCAGCAGAATTGGAAACAGGGATTCAAACATGACTTGTACTCAAATATTCAGAGCTGCTCTGTTCATGATAGCCAAAAGGTGGGAACACCCAAATGTCTATCAACAGATGAATGAATAAACAAAATGGGAGGGTATCCATAAAATGAAATATTACTCAGCTGTAAAAAGGAATAAAGTACTGATAGATGAATGAGCTTTGAAAACAGCAGGCTAACTGAAAGAAGTCAGGAATAGGCCACATGTTGTATGATTCCAGTAATATGAAATGTCCAGAATAGGCAAATCCATAGAGACAAAAAGGCAGTTAGTGGTTGCCAGGGACTGGGGGGAGACAGGAATGGGAAGTGAGTACTTAATGGAGGCACAGTTTCCATCTGGGATGATTAAAACAGCTCTACTACTAGACAGTGGTGATGTTTGTACAATGCTGTGAATGTACTCAATGTCACTGAATTACACACTTTAAAATGGTTAAAATGATAAATCTTACGTTAAGTGTATTTTACCACAGTAAAGAAATGGATAGAATTGTGTAAAAGAAAACTGATGTCTGTGTGACATGGCAGACCATTTTAGTGGAATATTTTAACACTGTGTACTAATAAAGTTCAACATAGGCATTACTGGTAACCAAAAATTTTACTTCTAGAAGCTTCTACAAAGGAAATAATGGCACAAACATACAAAGACATATATACACACATACATATATGTATTTATATAGCTACAGATGTATGTATATGCACATATATACATAAATGTATATACACATAAAGATACAGATCTAGTAATAGAGGATTAATTGATTAGTGTAAACTGTCAATGGAATACTACGTAGCTATTTAAAAACATTTTATATTTAGTGAAAAAACATGTAGCTCTAAGTTATATATAGCATAATTGTTTTCTGCTATAATATAAAATGTGGCGAGTTATGTTTTGTTTGGGGACCTCACTGAGAGCTACAGCCTGGGAGACAGCTTCTCAGCTAGCTCTGAGGAACTGCTCTCAAAAGGTAAGGGGCGGGGGAGGTAAGGGAGGAGCCAGGATATATATGAGTTTTTGCTGAAAAAGAAACATGTAGTTGAACATCAAAAGATTACTGCTCATCACAAAACAAAGACATTTCAAATTAATGATTTTAGCGCTTTTCTAAGTATGGGAAGACGCAAGAGTCTGGGCTCACTGAAATTATTCCTTAGATGCACATCTTAACTATCTAGGACCAGTATCCTGAATTCCCCTCGGCGCACTGTGGGGCAGGGCGGTGGTGGGGGTGTGTGTGCACTGGCTGGTGGCTTGATGGCAGGCCACATTCGCTGTTTACTGAAATGACAGGCAACAGTTTTTGTCCACATATGTTTATACACAGACAAATAAAAAAATATCAATACCAAAAAGTTAATGTGATTATACTTAGATATTAGATAGGTCATTTTATTTTCTTAATTATGTTTTCATAAGTATGTAAAATACTTGTAACAGAAAATAAAATTATAGTTGCCTAATTATTACTCTAAGTTTATGGGTCTTTTAAGTGTTCATTACTCCCACCAAATGACTAAATGAACCTAAGTGATAAATTTCACAAAGTATAAAAGTACAAATACAGGAAATAGCAGGTATTATTTATTTATACCATGTATGTGCCACTAACCACAATTTTATAGACTTCATTCCCTTAATTCACAGCAAGCTTGAGAGGGACTTCACTTTTATTTGCAAAAAGGAAGAAATAAGACTCTGGTTTAGTAACTAAATAAATGTTCTGGAACCATTTCCAACTTATGCCAGGATAGGGACTCCCCCCACACCACCAAACAATTCTCCAGACACCTGCTGGGTGTCCTACAATTCAACTCAATCTTCACACTATCCACCCAAACACAGTGTTAGGATCCCACAAGTTAAGGGTTCAGTCCCTACAAGCCTGCCTCCCGCTTCCCACCACTTCAGATGCCAGTCCCAAGTCCAGGACTTTTGTACTTCTGACCAACTGGCTATAAATAATGGTTCCCATGACCACCTCCTTAGGTTCAATTTATTTACTAGTGCGGCTCAAGAACTCAGAGAAACGTTTTGCTCACTAAAGTACTGGCTTATTATAAAAGAATATAAATCAGGAACAACCTGATGGAAGAGATGCATTAGCAAGGTATGGGGAAAGGGCACAGAGCTGCGCCCTCCCCAGGAGAGCCACACTCCCAGCACCTGCTGTTCACCAACCCCGAAGCTCAAGGAATCCCGTTCTATTGGGGTTTTGCAGAGGCTTCATTACATAGGTATGACTGATTAACTCACTGGCTATTGGTGACTGATTCAACCTCCAGCCCCACTCCTCCCAGAATGCCAAGGGTTAGGACTGAAAGTTCCCACCCTCTAATCAGGAGGTTGGCTGCACTGGTAACCACTCCCCACCCTTAGGTGCATTCCAAAAGTGACCTCATTAACATAAAAAGAAACACCTTAAGGGCTCTCCATACTTAGAACAGCCCCAGGGTTTTAGCTCAGTGCCAGAAACGAAGATGAAGACCAAATATTTATCTTATTATATAAACCACAATATCACAGTAACTCACCCAAGTCATCAGTAAGAGCAAGAACCCAGATTTAAAAGCCAGATCATTTCATCCCCAAACCCACACACCTGTCACTGGGCCAATATTATTTTATTATTCACCGGAAAGTATACTGATGGCTGGAGTTTACTTTGAAATACACTGTTTTAAAGAATGAATTTAAAAAATGGAGGGATGGATGGA